CTAGGGCGGGACCCAGCCTGGTTCAGTCCTGGGGGGGAAGAGATGCGGGCTCAGCAGTGTTTGTCGGGGCTTGAACAAGGGTGGGACCCAGCCTGGTTCAGTCCAGGTGGAGAGATGCGGGCTCAGCAGTGTTTGTCGGGGCTTGAACAAGGGCGGGACCAAGCCTGGTTAAGTGCTGGGAGACAGATGCGGGCTCAGGAGTATTTGTCAGGGCTTGAACAAGGGCAGGACCCAGCCTGGTTCACTCCGGGGAGAGAGATGCGGGCTCAGGAGTGTTTGTCGGGGCTTGAACAAGGGCAGGACCCAGCCTGGTTCAGTGCAGGGAGAGAGATGCGGGCTCAGGAGTACTTGTCGGGGCTTGAACAAGGGCAGGATCCAGCCTGGTTCAGCGCAGGGAGAGAGATGACGGCTCAGGAGTGTTTGTTAAGGGCTTGAACAAGGGCAGAAATCAGCCTGCTTCAGTGCAGGGAGCAAGATGCGGGCTCAGGAGTGTTTGTCGGGGGCTTGAACAGGGCAGGCCCCAGCCTGGTTCAGCGCAGGGAGAGAGATGACGGCTCAGGAGTGTTTGTTAAGGGCTTGAACAAGGGCAGAAATCAGCCTGCTTCAGTGCAGGGAGCAAGATGCGGGCTCAGGAGTGTTTGTCGGGGGCTTGAACAGGGCAGGCCCCAGCCTGGTTCAGTCCAGGGAGAGAGATGCAGGTTCAGGAGTGCTTGTCGGGGGCTTGACTCACACAAGCCAGTGGTTGCCTCCTCAGCAACCTGTAAACAGACATCTGGTGCGGTGAGCTGGGAGGACGCAGTATAAGAGAACTTCAGTGACTGGGCCGTGCTGGATTTGTGGGATTAGATGCATTTTTGGGGGGAAATGCCCACCACTCAGGAGTCCTTTCCTCTCTGCTTGCCCTTCCTTATGTCAGCCTGTTCTCAAGTCCTCCCCCTTCCATCTGCAGCCTCAACTTTGGAAAGAGACATTCCCACCCTGCCCACCAGCCAGGGGTCCTCCTTCCATTTAGGATCAAAGTAAGATTCCCTTGCCCAACTCTGTACCATCTGGGGTTACAAAGCACCTCCTTCTCTTTCTACTCCCTTTGAACCATTCAGTCCACAGAAGACTACAAGAGACAGAAGATCCTCCCCAGGCTCGCTTTCCCCCTGGAGGGACAGCCCCGTGTCTTGGCTCCCCCGATCAGTCAAATTTCTCAAGCATCATCTCCCCTCGTGGCGTCAAGCCCTACCCCTTCACCTTCTCCAGTCTGGCCCCCAGAGCTCTTCCTGTCTTAAGCACAGGTACGCAGACTGCGTGTCCACCCCTCTGTCCAGATGGTCCAGGGTCTCCTGGTAGTATTTCGAGGCGGACTTTTGCTCCTTCTTTCTTTCTCTGGCTGAGTCGGGTCTGAGTTGCAGCACACAGCATCTGCACTGGATCATGTGGGACCTTTTGTTTATGCAGCGCACAGACTCTCTGGTTGTGGGACACAGGCTCGGTTGCCCCATGGCATGTGGGAACTTAGTTCCCCATACAGGGATGGAACCCATGTTCCCTGAACTGCAAGATATAGATTCTTAACCACTGGGCCACCAGGGGAGTCCCGGGACTTTGGCCATTACGACGCTGCAATCACTTCCTTCTGACCAGTCTTCACCGGACACCTTCTCATCTGTTAGGACCCGGATTCCCCCAAAGCTCTGCACTTCCTTTGCACTCGAGACTGACATTTCACAGCTTCCCGGAGATGAACTCAAGAATCCTGAAGACCATAGTCACGAGGGAGCCGTGGGAGGTGGAGGGAAGAGCTGGCATTCGAGAGGCTTCGCCATTTTCTCCACCAGTGGGCATCTCGTAACGTGTGTAAGGAAAATATTCTCCTTAAATAAAAATGGATGATTCAGGGAATCACCCGGCAGTCCCGTGATGAAGACTCCACCTTGCAAGGGCAGGAGGTGTGGGTTCAATTCCTGGCTGGGGAACTAGGATCCCACAAGCTTCGTGGTCAAAAACACAGAGCGTAAAACAGAAACAATATTGTGACAAATTTCAACAGACTTTAAAAAATGGTCCAGATAAAAAAATAGTAATAATATATATATTTAAAGGATGATGCAGCTAATAAGGCAAGAGTGTTCTGTGGGCTGCCTTAAACAGCGTGGGCCCACGATAAAATAAATAAATAAATATGAGTCAGTTCTGCACCCAGACAATGGTGATGCAATGCCAAACATCCTTGGCAGTTTAATTACCAAAAAATTCCTATGTATTTCCCTGCGGCTCACGGTTAACAGTGTGGGGAATGATGACGTTTTCTGGAGTGTTGCCCTGAGTGTTAACCTTTAAGAGTCAACCCCAGCACTGGCCTCACAAGTTACAAAACTTAATTGTGCCTCAATCTGTCTCCTCAAGACGTTAAGACTTAGAGGGGGTAAAAAGGAGCAGTCTCGGGCTTCCCGGATGGCTGAGCAGTAAGGAATCTGCCTGCCGATGCAGAAGACCCAAGTTTGATCCCTGGGTCGGGAAGATCCCCTGGAGAAGGGAATAGCAACCCACTCCAGTGTTCTGGCCTGGAGAATCCCATGGACAGAGGAGCCTGGCAGGCTACAGTCCCTGGGGTCACCAAGACTCGGAGCAATGAACACTTCAGCATTCAGGTCATTGACTAGAACTTCTGGAATGGTGATGACAAGGTACTAAAGGAGGAATCCTTTTTTTTTTCTGACTTGTAAAGAGAAGAGTGAGTATACCACCAATTAAGAGTATGAACTCGGGTTACAGAGAAATAGGTATTCTTTACAGTAAATATCTATCCTTATCTGACTATGACTCTGAATGTGGAATGCAAGCCAATTCTTCCGCAAAGCAGATTTTGTAAACAAGTCATTTTAAATGCCTCTGTGTAAATATATGAACTCACCACCTCTTTGACGAGGTTCTCAGTGAGTAAATGTATTTAATGGCATGTTTCCCACGGTCTCATGTTTAATAAGAGATGCAAAGACTTGCCATTTACAGCAACTTGGGTGGACCCAGAGATGATCGTACTCAGTCAAGGAAGTCAGAGAAAGACAAATACCGTCTGATATCATTTATATGTGCAACGTAAGACAAATGATAGAAACGACCTTATTATTCACAAAACGCAAATATGTGGGAAGAATGTGATCACTTACAAATGAAGTAAGTGACCATTTCCCTGAGAACCTTTATCTGCTGTGTGCAAAGACAGCTTGGTTCACTTATCATATGTAAATGCCTACTGTATATAAAATAGATAACCAGGACGTACCTGTACGGCACAAGGAACTCTACTCAATATTCTCGAATAACCTAGAATGGGAAACAATCGGAAAACGAATAAATACATGTATATCACCAAATCAGTTTGCTGAACACCTGAAGCTAATACAACATTGTAAAACAAGTATATTTCAATAAGAACTTAAAAAATCTACATATGCAAATGTCATCTTACAGTATTAATACTGTTTGTGGCTTAAAAAAAAAAAGTCAGTCACAGTTATGTTTTACATTTGTTAGAGGATAATTTTTTTTCAGTCTTTATTGAGTTTGTTACAATATGGCTTCTGTTCTATGTCTTGGATTTTTTAGCCACAAAGGCATGTGGGATCTTAAGCGCCCCAACCAGGGATTGAAGTGACACCCCTAGCCCAGGATGGTGAAGTGGACCATTAGGGAAGTCCCTGGAATATGAATTTTTTTTTTAAAGAGAATGATAAAATCATACTCACATACAGATAATACAGAAACAAGTGTCAAAACTTTTATTCAATGAAATTAACTGGTGAGGGAAACAGTAAGATGTTACAAGCGATTTCAGGGAGAATTCAAAGAACAGACACGTATATGGGACATCAAGAAATATTGAGATCAATTAGCTGAAATGGTTCAAAACTGGTCAAAGGCCAGAAATAATCATGAACAATCATCGCAGGCACACACTTTTCTATCATTTTTCTAAGACCTTACACCGTTGAAAATCAGCTTAATGACAATCAGTAACAGAGAATACTTGGGGGGGGGGGGCACCCAGTAGGAACACCCCATGATTATATTATTCTCATTTTCAATGATGTTCCCATCGTGAAAGGCTGAGGAAGTCTGTTGCTGTTGAGTTGCTAAGTTGTGTCTGACTCCTTTGAGCCCATGGACTGCAGCGTGCCAGGTTTCTGGAGGAAATCTATTAGAAGGGGTTAACATCACCAGACAATAATGTTTGGTAAATTGTTCCCCAAATGGGTTCTTGGTGGTACCAAGACTGAATTGTCTAGTCCAATTCTATCTGTACCAAAGAGCATATTAGAAAAATAAATGATCTTAAAGGAAATGATTTCTGAGGTAGAAAACGTTCTCAAACGTGCATATGCACCTCAATGTAAGACTCAGGCTACAATGATGTCCACACCGACAGCAAACAACGGATGATAGCAGTCACGGGCTCTGACCACAGGTCCAGAGCGCTTTGAAGGACACAGGAAGAATGCCAACGTCTGCTGATAAAGAGAGTCGCTTATTAAAAGCTCATCTGTGATGTGAATTTCCCAGTCAGATTACAAACAGAATGACCACCTCACTTGTATCAGTTGCTATTGCCCCTGAAAAAGCACTGAAGACTGATACAGTACTCGATGTCTATAAATACAAATAAATATGTACCTACATATATATACATACAAGCACATACATATACGCATACATATTTTACAGTTGCCAGCCAGGGTTGAGAACACCAAAGAAGATAAAGGACGTGAAGCTAAATTATTCAGACACTAAACATGATTATTCCAGTGAGAATTTTCCATCTTGTGTTCTGAGCTGGGTCTGCCGTCTGTGTGTCAAGTGAGAGTTTGCGCCCCCATGGAGAGCATGGGCCCGGCCCTCTGAAGGCCGTACCCGGGGGAGGTCTGGGCGCGGGGCTTCCCTCCAGCTCCTCCGGGGTCCCCCTGGCCGTCTCCTGGCGGGGGCCCCCGGGGTGGGGCGTGGGCGCCGGCTCAGTCGTAGGGCGGCAGGCCGAACAGCTCGGGCTGGAAATCCTGCAGGGAAGCCAGCACGAGGGTGGCCTTGGAGGTCAGGTCTGGGTTCAGGTTTCCGTCGGGGACCATGACCACCTGCATCCCGGCAGCGAGGGCCGCCTCCACCCCGTTGGGCGCGTCCTCGAAGACCAGGCACTGCGGGGCGAGGGAGGGGGGAAAAAAAAAGGGTTGAGTGGTCCCAGTCGGTACTCACGCATCTCGCCTGGGTGGGCACGGTCCCCGTGGCCGGCGGCTGAGTCCGCCCATGGGCACGGCCGGAGTTCTGAGGGACCCAGAAGGGTGTGGACGGGGGGCTGCCTGCTTTATCACCCGTGAGAGGGGTGGAGGGGGCCGGCGCGCCCCCCATCCGAGCGCAGCCCGCCCTGGCACCATGCGGCGGGCTGGCCCATTGCTCTCAGCCCTGCAGTGGCACCGAAAGCACGCACAGCTCAGCGGGGAGCCCGGGCTCTAGGCTCACCGATTTATTTTACTGGAATCGTTCAGAAGCGGTCCTGTTGGAGCGTGCCAACCACGAGAGGAGGCTGTGAACGGGGAGAAAAAAGCATGCGGGTGAGGCCTACAGTGACCTCACCGCTGGCCACGTGTCAGGAGCAGCGTATTGCTCGTTAAACGTCACGCCGGGTCGGTGAGGAGCCCAGCCCGGGGGCGTGCAGGGCACGCCTCGGGAACTGCCTGAACACCAAGCCCGAGCGCTGGGGGCGCGGTACCTGTCCCAGCTTGCTCAGACACCGCCTGTAGGCTGGGGCGTCTGTATCCCGGAGGTCAGCGAGCTCCCCCATGCGCCATCATGAGACCCGCGCCCACGCCAGGTTCCCATCAGTCCGCACTCCGCGTGAGAGACGGAGCCTGCCCAGGGGGCAGCGGGCCGTCAGCCTCACACCCACTTCCCTCCCGGGAGCACACGCTCCTGCAAAGTCTCCCTGCGCCCCTGGAACTCCACACTGGAGGTGAGAGCGCGCGCGTGCGTGCTCCCACAGTCGTGTCTTGGGAGTCTCTGTGACCCCGTGGATGCAGCCCGCCAGGGTCCTCTGTCCGTGGGATTCTCAGAATCCTGGAGTGGGCTGCCATTCACGTCTTCAACGGATCTTCCTGACCCAGGGATCGAACCGATGTCTCCTGAACTGGCAGGCGGACTCTTTACCACCTGAGCCACAGGGAAGGCCTCCCCTTGGAAGTGAGGGACGATGGCTCAGTCATGCCTGGCTCTTGACCCCGCGGACCGCAGCCCGCCAGGCTCCTCTGCCGTGGGACTCTCAGACAAGAACACGGGCGCGGGCTGCCCTCCTCCAGGGCTCTCCCGGCCCAGGGACGGACCGTGTCCGCTGCGCCGCAGGCGGCGCCTTCCCCCCGAGCCCCGGCAGCCCTGCTGCGGGCCGCCGCGCCCTCTACACTGAGCGGCTGTCTGCGGGGGCCGCGCGGCCGACAGGAGGGCTGCGCCCTGCTCCACGAAGACGCTCTCCTGGGCGCCTTCCGCACCGCGGCCCCGGCACGCAGGGGATGGACACCCGCAGTGCTCACAGCACACACACGGCACACACTCACAGTACACACACAACACACCCACGATACACACAACACACACAACACACCCAAAATACACGCAACACACAATACACACAACACACCAACGACACAACACATAAACACACCTGCAATACACACAACACACACAAAATACACACAACACACAATACACACCCAAAATACACCCAACACACAATACACACCCAAAATACACCCAACACACCCAAAACACACGCAACACACCCAATACACCCAATACACACAACACACAATACACACCCAACACACCCAAAATACACGCAACACACAAAACACCAACGACACAACACATAAACACACCCGCAATACACACAACACACAACACACACCCAAAATACACCCAACATACCCAAAATACACGCAACACACAAAACACCAACGACACAACACATAAACACACCCGCAATACACACAACACACACAAAATACACCCAACACACAATACACACCCAAAATACACACAACACACAATAGACCCAATACACACAACACACCCACGATACACCCAACACACCCAAAATACACGCAACACACACAATACACCCAACACACCCAACACACCAACGACACAACACATAAACACACCTGCAATACACACAACACACACAAAATACACACAACACACAATACACACCCAAAATACACACAACACACAATAGACCCAATACACACAACACACCCATGATACACACAACACACCCAACACACCCAAAATACACGCAACACACACAATACACCCAACACACCCAACACACCAACGACACAACACATAAACACACCTGCAATACACACAACACACACAAAATACACACAACACACAATACACACCCAAAATACACACAACACACACCCAAAATACACCCAACACACCCAAAATACACCCAACACACCCAAAATACACCCAACACACCCAAAATACACGCAACACACAAAACACCAACAACACAACACATAAACACACCCGCAATACACACAACACACCCAAAATACACACAACACACAATATACACCCAAAATACACACAACACACAATAGACCCAATACACACAACACACCCACGATACACCCAACACACCCAAAATACACGCAACACACCCAATACACCCAATACACACAACACACCAACGACACAACACATAAACACACCCGCAATACACACAACACACCCGCAATACACACAACACACAATAGACCCAATACACACAACACACCCACGATACACCCAACACACCCAAAATACACACAACACACACAATACACACAACACACCCAACACACCCCAAATACACCAACACACACAATACACCCAATACACACAACACACCAATGACACAACACATAAACACACCCGCAATACACAACACACACAAAATACACAACACACAATAAACCCAATACACACAACACACCCGCGATACACACAACACACCCAACACACCCAAAATACATGCAACACACAATACACACAACACACCCAAAATACACCCAACACACACAATACACCCAACACACACAACACACCAACACACCCGCAATACACAAAACACACCCACAATAGACACAATACAACACACCCACGATACACACAACACACACAAAAGACACACAACACACCCACGATACACACAACACACCCAACACACCCAAAATACACGCAACACACACAACACACCCAATACACACAACACACCCAATACACACAACACACCAATGACACAACATAAACACACCCGCAATACACAACACACCCACAATAGACACAACACACAACACACCCACGATACACACAACACACCCAATACATACAATGCACCCAAAATACACATAACACACCCAATACACACAACACACAAACACACCTGCAATACACACAACACACCCGCAATAAACACAGCACACAACACACCTATGATACACACAACACACACAAAACTCACAACACACCCAACACACCCAATATACACAACACACACAATACACCCAATACACACAACACACCCAATACACCCAACAGACCCAATACACACAACACACCCAACACACCCACAATACACACAACACAACACACCCAATACACACAACACACAATACACCCAAAATACACACAACACACCCAAAATACACACAACACACCCAAAATACACACAACACACCCAAAATACACACAACACACCCAAAATACACACAACACAGCCAAAACACACACAACACACCCAATATACCCAACACAGCCAACACCCAACAGACACAACACACCCAATACACCCAACACACCCAATACACCCAACACACCCAAAATACACACAGCACACACAATACACACAGCACACACAACACAATACACCAACAGATACAACACACACACAATACACACACTCACACAACACCCAACACAAAATACACTCACACAGAACACAAACACAATACACACAGCACACAACACACAATATACACATACACACCCCAGACACTGCTCCGCAGCAGGCTCGCCGACTTGATTTCTTTCCCTTCCATCTTCCCTTCCCTCCCGGGCTGAGCGGTGCATCCGCCAAAGAGGCGAGGACCAGCTGTCAGCCCCAGGCAGCGTACAGGGTGGGGGTGCCCGGCACGCGGAGGCCAACGGCAGGGTCCTGGGCCCAGGACAGCGCGCCTGCCACCAGCCCCAGCAGGCCTCGGGCGGTCCCGGACCCCGCCGGCTCTCCGCCTGGGCCTGAGGGGACGCCTTCCCTCTCAGACAGAGGGGACTCCGGCTCTCCGCCCTGGCCGTGCGGAGACGCCTTCCCGCTCCGGCAGCGGGGACTCCACTCAGGCCGCCCAGGGCGGTGTGCCCATCTGAGCCGGGCGCTTCCTGCCGCTGCTGTTTCTCTCCCTGCCTTTTCAGGATACGACCCGCCTGGATCCTCAGCCTCCTTGGGGTTTTATTTGGGACCTGCACAGGCACCGAAACGTCAACTGGCGTTTTGTTTCTGAGACCACGAGGGTTCTGAAGCGTGGTGCGGGCCCCCTGGGACCTTTCGGAGGGGCCGAGGAAGAGATGTTAGCTGATTCCTTGGCCTCACGGTGTTTGGCTCAAGTTATGAAAACAGCTTAGATGGTGCATTTGTGAGATGCTCCTTCCGACGAGCATGTGGGCGGGAGTGAGGTGAGAGCGGAGGGTCCGAAACAGGGGCACGGAGCAAAGCAGGGGCCCAGGACATTGTCCTTCTGCGAGAAGAGTGGACAGTGCTTCACACCTGACGGCCCATCCACAAGCCCGCGAAGGCGACACATCGAACGCAGAGAAATGTCTACGCGCCCTTGATGGTGCAGCAGCAAACGGCGGACTGACACAGACTTAAAGCTATGCGGATCTTTAGAGCGCCGAGCCGGGAAGCATGGCAGACACCCTGCCTCTGGAAGTTTCGCTCTTTCTGTAGGCGTGTTTACTGGTTTCTGTTTTCCATGCACCATCTGTCCCCGCCTAATTCGGGAGGGAACCACCCCGATTCCCAAGGAGACGTGAACCATGATGCTCAGCACGCGGGCTGCAGAGGAAAGGGGGGCGGGGGTCAGGCAGGCAAGCCCCAGTGTCC